CCCATTAAACTTCCTAGACTTGGCTCGAAGAAGTAAGGAGTTGGACAGAGAGATAATCACAGCGGTGACCTCAATGGAAGGCTTTCAAGAGAACACTGTTCAAAACAGTTCACCCCGAAAAGATGATAAAAGTACACGTCTGCGGTAGGTAACCAAGGCTCTTAGATGCGGATCTGGAGTTGGTGATGAGGGATACTGAAAGAGTTTCCGGGGATAGATGGTATACGTCACAGAGTTGTTATTTACATTGGTTTTCCTGTCATGGCTCACTTAAAATTGAAAGATAGACCTACAGCCGCATTTCGTAAAGTTGAACAAATAAACGGGAGGAATAATCATGAAACCTGGCAGTGGCAATTGATTTTCTGTGTTGTTCCATATGATAGTAGGACATTGATAAGTGTGTTGGCATTTCGGTGGTGGTGGACAACGATTTTTGGTTTCAGACGGAGCCACGGGCATAAGATAGCAAATCATTCCTGTTTATTCTCTCATCCTGCAAAGCGACAGCTTGATACGAGGCGTCGGTCGTTTGCGAGCTGTCCTGTGACGACTGCGGCGTCTAGATGCACGTGGCATACCTATATCAATTGCCATGAGCCCAATATGAAATCAGGCTAGAATTTCAAGGCCACCACTCAGGGGAAAACCAGGTTTGCTCCGTTGGGCGTTACTTTCACAGAGTCCGTCTTAGGCAGTGACGCAAAACTTGGCTAAAGCGCATTGATCGTGATGGATTGATAGTATACTGGCAGGTCGATTGTACGGGAAAGGGCGACAGATCACGCCCTCTGGGTTCTCATCGGAGTCTTTTGAAAAGACGATTATGACTTCATGCTTTCACGCGCAATGACGAGTTGGCACTTCCATGTAGGTAGAGAGTGCTCATGTTCCTTATCGGTCAATGCTCGTGACAAGGCTACCAGCCAACCCCCTATCCGGCAGTAGTCAGACTTCGATGCTTACAGTTTCATCAACTTGAGCTAAGTCTGCCCTCCGGATAATCCCTTGACCACCGGGACCGCTAACAGGAAGCACAGGCTGTTGGGAAGGGGTAAGTACCGCGAAGCAAGTAGAGTCAGGTCCAGTGACTTAATCCCCCGACTACCTGCCGCCCATCCCTGGATGAAACCAGCGGCTAAGCATCACCTGCAGAAGTAACTGTGATGAGGACATTTACTGCATTGACAAGCATCCTGAAGAGGCAAGAGTCCCACCCACTGCTCTCCTTACGACCTCGCGAGTTCTCGATACGCAAATGCGGCCGATGGCACGACAGGAGAGTTTGGGGGCGATCTGCCAATGCCAAAGCCCTGTATGTTGAAGTACCTTGATAGCAAGTCCCAACAGAAGGAAAAAGAAGCACGTGAGATTTGGATTGACATCAGTATGGCCTGGATCGGTAAGGGGGGGAAGCCCTATTAGAAGCAGCATAAATGACCCACCAGCGAAGGCTTTCGCATGATAGCCATCGTTCCATAGAATGTTAGACACATGGCCAAGAGCATATGTCGGTTTGGAGTGGAGATATGTGCCCCTAGGCGTCCTCAGGATTGGTTAAGGGGCAACAAGGCAGCTGACCCTCGATTTCTCTTGCACATTGCATTAACGAAGTTACGTAGGAGGGCGTAATATTTTACCTCTGCTGTAATGGCATGGCCAGCGAATACAACCTACTGACTGGCCTACATAGAATGAGCACTCATGACGCAACGCTTCCGTTCAATTCATATAGGCACTACACTTCCATCCTTGGTCTGAATTTGCCATCACCATCTGTCAGCGCCACAATCCGTCACAGACAAGGCCAGTCCTTCATTTATTCGCAATGGAGTCTCCGGAGTCAACCCGTACCCGAGATTTCACCAGGCTGAGTTACGATGAGGAGTCATACCAGCCGTCCCCGCCATCCTTCCGGTTCCAAGCATGGAACATCTGCAAGGAATTCGGATGGGAGTCGCTCCAAGAGAATCGCCAGATGGCAAGATTCATCGAGCAACATATATCGGTCAGGTTCAAGGCGTTTTTTACAGTCTCGCCAGTGATGCCGGTCAACACGTCTCCGGCGCTCGCCATTCCACGGTCTGTAAGTCAATTGCCCGCAAAGACAGTTCTACTCTCGAGTGTCAGGCCTTCCCCTATCTCAAAATATAGCCACTAATGGCACAAAGATACGTATTACATTGACTCACGCCACTGGACATGATTGGGAGAAGGATGTCCAGACCCTTGCCAAAGTTGAGCTGCCAAAAATTGTAAAGAAGTATTTTCGAGCAAAGCTCAACGTCAAGCTGGACTTTTATAATGCGTACGCAGAAGGCGAAGATTTTGAAAACGTGCAGCTGGGGAGGGCGTTGGCATCGCGCTCCCTACAGCAGAGACTGCGCGGTTTTCTTCAAAGAGTGAAGCAGAAAGCCTCTGATGACATCCCCCAGGCCTTGTAAGTATCGCATGTCTGAGCGGATCATGTGTGATCTATGTGACTAATTGAAGGTCTAACTATACTCAGGCAAGACGGAAAGCAAGTGACACGAAGAGTAACTCTTCGAACAGATGGTATGACCTGAGCATTGATACCTGAAGTGGTGAGAATTTTATCAACTGACCTCGGGATAAGCAGGATCTCGGTATGACCCAGAGCGGGTTAATTCAAAGAGATTATCATTTTCTAGCTTTGCGTCTTCATCTTTGTCATTCCGAAAGAAGGAGAAACAAGGAAACGAGTCCAACGTCGGGTCACCCCGGTCCATTGAAAAGATGCCTATTCCCCCTTCGACCCCAACTCCTCGATTTGATCTCACAAAAGAGGCCGAGGACAGGTCTCTATTCTTCGAAAACCGGCCCCGAACCGCTGAAACGCTTCCACGACCAGTGAAGACCCCTACTCGTACGAACACAGGCCAGACGATTCAATATGCAGTGAAGGATGGGGTTTCGACCCTTGTCAGGGCGCTTGCTTCAGGATCGTTCATGGCATGCATCATGCTTCCAGCCTCGCCATGCGCTCTCCTTTTTTATCAGCTTCCCGATAATATTATTCAGCTCACCATGCTGTCTAGGGCAAGGGGCGAGGATGGTAAAACGTCAGTGTCGTTGTTTGGTAGCTCTCCCATTGCCAGAGCTACCAGACGAACACCACTTCAAGCACACATGAAGAACGGGAACTTATCATTGTTCTTCCAGAAGACGGCCTCTAGGAATGGGCAGCCCCCTGTCCTCGCCCAGTGCAAGCTGATTCCAAAGGGAAGTGAACAAATATCATGGGATGTAAACAATCTTGAGTTCCCCGACGCTGTGAAATTACACCCGCGCGCGGAATATTTCCCAAACAATATCCTTTTACTAGAGTCCGAGGTACGGCCTGGTGATCTCATTGCGGCGCGCGCAGACAAGATTAATGGAGGCTGGCTCATGACGCGGCCACCAGAGTCGATGCCAGCGAATCCCGAGGCCCATTACTTCACCACAACATGTTTTGAGCCAGACTCTTTCCGTATTCGCAGTCTAGCAAAGAATGGTATTGTTCAGTGCCAGGTGGAAGGGCTTCGTACCTGGGGAGCGCTCAATCAAGCTGACATGAGTCCTGGGTCACATGAGATGCAGAGAAAAGACCTCAATTGGCATGGAAAGCCACCCAGCTCAATGCCTGTATCATGTCGCCTTGTTGAGGGACATGGGACTGCAGGTATTATTGCCGTACTTTCCCGCTCGGCCGATGATGGCATCTACCTTTTCCGGGGTCACCCCTGGTGGGATGAGCTGGAGGCCCCTGAATTGGTCTGCAGAGCGAAGAGGGGCTCACATTTTATATACCTCAAGGATTGGAGAAAAGTCGTCTTCTTGTCTCCCCAGAATCAACTTTCTTGGGTCTCCCTTGATGTTGAAGACGACAATACCATCCTGGTTGGCACCACAGCCTCGATCACCAACGGCGACCCTTTGGCAATGTTGCTGAATGGGGGCCTACATCCAACTTGATTCCCGCACTTTTCTATCGTCGTTCTTTTTTTTCTTCGTCTATTTCCTTTTGTGATGTAAGAGAATCCAGATATCATGAACCCTGGGATAGGCTGGCTCTATGAAGGTTCAACAAGTGTTAGTGACCAAATTTGAACATTTTCTATGATGAATTTTTATGAAACGAATAATGAGAAAACGAATTTTTTACCATACGGACATTTAATTTGAAGCCCGCCACAATATCCTACCTTTTCCCATTATTGTTTGCTTAACAGTTGGGGATGATGAATATTATATATCTTGTATTTTGATGCTCACAAGGCCGCTGACAGTGTTTTTGCTCCGTACAACCACACTTGGAGCAGCTAGGGTCTAGGTCGCAGGCACCTTCTACCCGTGAGAAATGAATATCGGACTGTGTATCGGTCCTAAGCGGGTTATGGGCAGCTGGTTTTGCGTTAAGTGGCTGCATATACGCAAAATGCCTGTCGGCTTTTGCAATGCACTATTGCCTGCAAGACATCCCGCCCCAACGCATAAATAGGCTCAATCCAGAATGAGATGGCAAATCATGCTTGGAGGCTACATGCATGAAGGGAAAGCTACCCAACAACATTAACTCAAATTCATCGTGAGCATCACTAATCCATAACATCCGTTTTAGCTGTTCATGTTGGCAGCGACGAAGAATAAGGTTGCTTTAGTCAGAATAAAACATTCGGAAAATTAAAGGAAAGAATGTAAGACCCTCCCTCTTCTGGCACATTTGAGGTAGCAATAACGAGGGATTGTCGGAAAGCGCCATTTATTGTTGCAGACACATTCAATGCAATGCAATGCAACAGGTGACGTTGGAAGGGCACCACATTGTCTCCACCTCTGACAATTGTTGTAACCCTTTCTTTTTCTCTTTCTGAGCTTCGTTGGCCTGGTCGGCTTATGCTATGGATGATATTGAGTACATGTTATGTGCTTTTGTATTGCGTGTGCTCAAAAAGTGCCTACTTATCGAACGAGAAGGGGGGTAGGTAGTCCGTGCCTCAAATACCCAATTCCTCCAACGTTAATTCTCGCGCCGTTTCCATCATTTCATCAATCTGAACATTCCTCTGCTCTTGGGTGCCCTGCTGCTGGCTATTATACGGAACCTCCTTTGTTGAATTTGTAGATGGGTCGACATATTGGTCCACATGTTCGCGGAAGTCGCCTCCAAGCTTCTTAGATGAGGCAGGCAAAAATGGCTCCTCGTTGTCAGCGACTTGTACAAGAAGACATTCCTTGAAATTGAATTCCGGAAGACTTTGAAAGAAGGCATCGTATTTTGTATCCATGGCAGCCTCGAGGTTGGAAAAGATATCGCCATCTGGGCAATCCGAATCTTCCGTTTTGCAATGGTTCTGCAAGACGGTCCAAGGATTGCGGCAGTTGTCTTGCTCGCACGACTTTGTGACGAGGAGAATGCCGTTGAGACGCTGGATGAGACGCTTGATCTCCTCATCAGGGTCGTTGGATTCGTGGGCGAGGTTGTTGAGCTCCCACGGATCATTCTGTATTATGATTAGATAGAGAGCTAGCATGGGATGCAAGTAGAGTATCCTTACCAAAGTGTCATAAAGCTCAGTGTCGCCCGTGCACCACTTGGTGTACAACCAGGATGAACTGGTCCCAATCACACGAATCGCTTTATAGCTGTTTCTTGTGTTCCCACTTTGTCCTGGTAACTCACTCTCTCCGCCACCCCAAAATTCGATGTTGATGATATCATGGTGATTGGAGTCAGTTTCATTCCGAGGATTATGCCAGTTACTGAGGAGACTTCGGCCATCAAGAAGTACGGGGTACTCGGATTCATCGACGCATGCGATTTCCAAGAAAGTGGGCGCCAAATCCAGATGTTTGCCAGGTAATGTCGAGATGATGCCCTGGGGGATATCGGGGCCTCGTACGAGGAAGGGAACGTTAGTATCAGTAATGTAAGGCAACGTCTTGCCAGCACCTGCACGGTGCTGGCCCATATGATAACCATTATCAGCGGAAAATACAACTGATATGCTGTCAGCGTAAAGTTTAATTGTCAAAGCGACTTCAGTTGTACTTCCTGTAAGTATTGTCCAAGATGTTCTTTTCCTGTAGTAACTCAACTACGTCGTGCACAATCTCATCGACGCCTTGAAGCGTCTGGACTCGGCGACGGTAGTGCTCATCTATGCGGTCTAGCTGCGATTGATTAAGAGATTTGAACTCCTTAAGCCACGAAGGCTTCTGATCTGTATACACTTGGTCTGGGTTGAAATTCTTGGTCCGAGGTGCTGTGGCGTCGAGAAAGTCTTGCTGATGCCGCACCTGAGCAATTGGGAGATTGCCGCCGGTTCGCACGTGGGGTGCAACAGTACCGAGAGTGAGATAAAACGGTTTTTCTTGCTCCTCGGTAAGATACTTGAGCCTTGCAATCCTAAGAGCATGTTAGTAGGAATGTTTGGTGTTATTAGCAGTGATGTAGTTGCTGTACATCTTGGCTCGCAGCACGTCGGTTTGATGATAGCCTTGGAAGAGTATAGGCGTTTCCCCATTGGCAGAGAAGACAGGTCGGTTGAAGTCGTATACCCATGGGTCAACCTTTTTTAGGAGAATTAGCATTTCAGTCATCTTAAGAAGCTTGGGCATTGTAGATCTTGATCGTAGGCTCACCAAAGCATCGATATGGTCCCACCCTTTAGGACTATACTGATACAGAGCCTTACTGTAACCATTTAGGAACTTGCCAAGATCTACAAATCTATGATTAATCGAGCGGCGCGGCTATCGAGGGAGGAATCCATACACTCAGTCCGGTATCCAGCATTCTGTAACCAGATAGGAAGATAATTGTTGTCCTCGCCCATCAACCGCCATTTCTGATAGTTTCCCCTAGAGAATTGTGGTTAGTATAGCAATAAATCTTTAAACGTCCGACATTTTCATACCCTGGATTTCGCACATGAGTGATATTGGTGTTATGGCCGTGCTGGCCTCGAAGCAAGGATGCTCGGCTAGGGCAGCAATTGGAAACGGTGGCAAAGTGCTTGGTAAATGTAGTTCCTTTGTCCACGATGAGATTTTGCACGTTTTGCATGTAGTCCAACGAATTCAAATGAAGATCTTGATCGTCGGTAAAAATAAAGACAATATTGGGCCGTTGGGCGTTGCAGGTTGGTAAAGCTGCAAAGCCTTGACGAACAAGAGTTGCCATAAGCAGAAGAGCTAGAAAAGGGATCATGATGACTTGTCTCCGCTGACTAGGATGGACGATCAGTGATAAATTAAGGATTGACGTCGCACCAGGAAGTTAGAGAGACCGAGTTGTAGCCGTTCATCGATGATGGCCGTGAAAGGGTCTTCATTAATATAGCCAGACTCTTCCCCTGGACATTAATTACTGATCATCCTTTCTCAGTCAACTGCAAATCAAGGAACTTCTATGTCTCGCATTGATTAAATATACACCCCAGCAAATCATGGATATATGAAAAAAAGCCAATCGGAGAAAGGCATTTTGACAAATGACCATTCATTTGTGGGTCGTAAGAATGCGGATGAGTCTTTTGGATCCTTTGACGTAGGACTCGTCCTCCTTCATAGCCCATCCCTCTCCGGTTGTTAGTTAATGGGTTCTGTGTGTAGGGGCTTTTGGGAGGCGACAGGGTTCAGTCTGATGCGATTATATCTTCCTATTTTGTCTGCAACCCGGGAATTAGGTACTTGGGGGTGAGGAGTGTATGCACAGGCTGATGTGAGATGAATGACTCGGATCGTGTACAACATTTGTCCTGGCTTGCCTTTCTCTGTAATTATTCAAGAGCGGCATGATAAAAACAGACCCACGATACAATAAAGACCTCTTGTTCAATAATTTTGACTCTTTTGAGATCTAGGTAATACCACTTCAGTAAAAAGACATCGGGTTTCCTAGTGTGCGCACATTGCGGGGAAGCGTTGCCTTAGACCTGCTTGGAACGTTCAAATTCAGTCCACAAAGGCAGTGTATCTGACGGATTCGATTCCACCCTTGCCACGACAGTATAGATCAAATAGTCCACGTCCCGTCCGTTTCAATGGGCTCAGTGGCGTGGTCAACTTATCTCTAGCATATTCCAAGGATTCTAGAAAGTGGGAAGCCTGTTTGAGGACTTTCTCCATCAGCAAGCGTCAGAGTGCCCACGGAGGAATGGGAATGACGAGGCAATAAATCACTTGTTGTCCTGTCTGATGGATGGCAACGTCGGAGAACCAAAGGATGCCGAGTGGGAAGATAGTTGCCGAGATGCGCATTGCAGGATGAGGATTTCCGATTCCTTGGGAAGATTTTGCCTTGGTTGCATCATTCACTTCCAAATCGTCTTGAACTTGCTGATTTAATAATGTTTCAGGCATTCATTGCTATTAATGCTCAGTCTCCCCGTGATCTAAAATCTCCCCCACCATCAGCCGACATCATCACACGTGAATGGATAGTCGGATCATAAACATCTAGATTGACCTTTATTCAGAAGTGGTTATATCTCCAATAGTAATTTAAGTTGCACAGTTAAGTCGTTATATTTTCTAAGTTATTGTTCATACAAGCTCAATATATCGAGTAAATTCCCAATCAGTAACAGCCTCTCGCCAGAGCTTAAGCTCATGGCGTCTAGAAATTGTGAAAAAGTCAACGAATTCATCACCTAGAAGTTCTCTCGCGACGCTGCTTGGTGCCGAGAAGCGATCCAAGGCTTGCTGGAGAGTGTCTGCTAGCCTTAAGGGCTTGCCATCAGTCTTCTTCCTTGCAGATTGCGGAGGCACCTTGATTTCAAGTTTCTTCTGTATACCACGAAGACCTGCACTGAAGATGGCACTCAGAGCATAATGAGGATGCAAATCAGCACCCGGAATGCGCACCTCAATTCGAGTTGCCGATGCCTTGCATGAAGGGGGGCCGATCAGGCGCAGAGAGGCAATGCGGTCCTCGAATCCCCAGGTGACAAATACTGGGGCCCAGAAGTTTTCGACATAGCGTTTGTATGAGTTTACTGTCGGGGCGAATAAGGGCATAATATCTGGGAGTGCGTCGATGATACCAGCCAGGAAGTGGCAACCCAAATCCGAAAAGTGCTCCAAGTCTTTCCACTGTGGGCTGGGGTTGGGGGATTCTCTGGCAAACAGATTTTTACCATTGCCGTCGATTAAAGAAACGTGAATATGGCCAGAGCTGCCGGGAAGCCCCTGGAGTGGCTTCGCCATAAAGCACGGGGTTATGTTGTGGTCAACCCCCAGAGATTTTGTCAATAGTCTGCACAGATTAGTATTGCAGACATTGGAGAAGGAAATAACGAAGCGGACAATCTTACTTAAATAAACTGACTCTGTCTGCCATTTCTGCTGCGTCTTGTACACCGAGAGCCTGAAATAAATGTTAGGGGGGCGGGAGAGGCACAAGTCGGGCTGGATCACTCACTGCTTCAAACACACCAGGACCACTTTCTGTGTGCCACACTTCTAAATTGCAACGAACTTTGGCGCTGGTATCAAAAATGTCGTGAAAATATCTCTTGGATGCAACAGGTCTGGTCATACTGTATCCAAACATGCCTTGAGTAATTGGACGAACAGCCTGCGGACCACTCTTGGATATGAATGCCGCGAGATCAGGCCGAGCTCCTGGATTGCCATAGCCATCCTCGCTTGGTGTCTGAAAATTAACAAACTCCAATTCAACTAGAATCATGATAATTAGTGTTACTCCTATGAGTCGGATCTTTTAAATGCCTACCTCCTGCTAGAGGATGAAAACCTTCTTGACCTAGTCTCTGTTTGACCCCTTCTATGAGACCTCGAGGACAGCCAGCCGCGGGCTTCTCGTCCACTTTGAAACTCAACATAAAAAATGGGATGTTATCTTCCCACGGCAGTCTTCTGAACGACGTCAAATCTGCCACAGCAGCGAAGTCGGAATAACCTTCCGCCTCTGTGCTGTCCTCTGTTGAGTAGATCTCATCATGCATGTCCCATCCAAAGATAGCCGAGCTGAAGCCGAATCCGGACTTCACGGTCGAGACAAATTTCTCCTTTGCCATGATTTTGCCACGGAGGACACCATCGGCATCAACGCCAGCCACCTTGACCTTGATATCATCCTTGAGGAACTCCCCAACGGTTTCCGTGGTAAGAACTGTCATGATCTCTAACTTGAAGTAAATGTGCGAGCAACGGCTGTAACTGCGAACGGCCAAGATGACTTGGCATTGACTTCATGAGAGGAGACTTATTTAAATTTAAAATCCCCATTTCTAGTAACACATACGGGAATTATCTAATAGTCCACTTTACCCCATTTTTGAACACTGTGGTATCTAACTGTAGCCCGCGCGGTAATCATGAGACCAGACAAGCTGCTCCATAACGACATAGATAGCGGCATGAGATTACTTTGAGCTTCCGTATAACCGCGTCATGGCAGGTTTCCAATCTTGTTCTAGTTCGGGAGCGGATCTAGCCAAGAGCTATCTCATCGTATCTGGACGACGCGCACCGCGGCTTCTCCACACCCCTTTTAGCGTAGCCGCGCTGCAAGGCCATGTGAACAGGCCACGGCCAGGTTTCAATCGAGGGTCCTTTTGGTCGCCCTCAATATCGCGGGCGGCGGGTCTGCCTATACGCATGACTGGGTGCCGTGCGGTCTCTCACAAGGCAAGTTGGTTCGCCTCGTCCGTAGCGACGAATGGTATGTCAAATGGCTATTCCAAACACGAGAAGTTGAAGTTATTCGAGCGATGATAATAATTAATGAACGTCTTGATTTTCTATAACGAATAATGGATACATTGTAATACACCTCTGAATGTCTCTTCGGAATACCACAAGATTACGTAGCTATCAGTTCCATGAGTTCCCATCCCTACATACTATCCTTCTTTCCGCTGATCTCGGTGCCCATATCCGGAGTCACCCCATCCGACGTTTCGTCACCAAAAGAAGGTCCTTTGAAGTTCTTCCGCCCATGAACCGCATACCAAAGGGCACTAATGAAGGCAAAACCTGCAAAAACTACCGAGGCGTAGTTCATGGTTTCGGCATCAACGGGCAACGACACCGGCATGCTGAAAATAACCACCGCAAAGAAGATCCAGACTGCCGAAATTCCATTGATGAGATAACCGGCTCCTTTCAAAGGAAATAGCGAACCCTTGACCGCTGTCCTTCCCCTTGCCATGCTCACCAAGATTGGAACGCAGTAAGAAGTAGACAGGCAAATGGTGGCAACACCGGTAAAGCTATTGAAAGCAGACAGGCTGCCAAAATAGATGCACCCGAGCAAGCAAATGACGGCTGATGAAAGCAGAATGGAGTTCAGGGGAACCTCGAGTTTCTTATGAACTCGGCTCCATATCTGAGACCCTGGGATGGCGCCGTCGCGAGCAAAAGCGTAGGTACAGCGTGAAGCGGCGGTCAATGACCCAATTCCAGCGAAAAGCAGGATGCCCAGGATGAGGAAAAGGAGACAGAAACCTCCGGCCTTGGAGCCAGTGACAGTTGTGAACAAAAGCCCGATGGGCTGCCCATTTGCGACGTTCAGCAGCATCTCGATATCTGGCATGACAAATAGCAGTGGGACGAGATAGAGGAGACCTGTGATACCCGCAGCAAACACAGAGAGAACAATTGCTTTGGGGACCTCGCGTTCAGGATTCTGAACTTCGTCGCACATCGATGGCACCATGCCGTACCCTGTCAGGGTATACGCGGCTGTAGATTATTTGTCAGAATGAAGATATCAACACAATCTTATCGTTCATTGATGCACTTACGCTGAAGTAATCCAACAAAAAAGGCCCATCCGGAAGGCCAGCCGCTGGCAGACGCGTCATAGTGAGTAAATACAAAGCTGGCTGAACGCTTCTGGTCGGCGGTGGCCAAGAGAGTCACCATCAGGATAACAACACTCAGAGCCGTCCAGTATATACAGATTTTGTTGATCAAATCGAGGTAGCGAGATCCGAAGATGTTGACAAGCGCAGATACCAGCATCACTGCCCAGAAGCAAGTAACGGTTTGCCACTGGTTAGGAACAAAGTCCTCGTTGAAAATCGAGATGGCGCTGAGGACCAACTGGGCACCCGCAAACGTGATGGACAAGCTGGGTAATTCACCGTTAGACTTTTTCAAAGTTGGTTGAAAAGGGGTATTTCGTACCAGACTGTCCAGTTACCAACCAAACCTAGCCACCCATCGATGAAACTCACAGCCGGCGCATATTTCGGCGTGCAGAGAAGAAACGACCAATGATAGGTTCCACCAGCTGTAGGATACACGGCGCATATTTCCGCAAGAGAGGCAGCGATGCAAAGCGATATGATAGACACAATGACCCATCCCCAGAGAACGCTGACAGACTGGCCGGTTGTGAGCGTGATGTACATAGTCGTGGACAGACCAAAGGGAACAGCCATGATGGCAAATGACATTCCCAGAATGCTCATCATGCTGAGATGTTGTGGAAGCTCGTGTTTGTATGCCACCTGCTCCATGGCTTGGTGCTCATTTCGGGGCGCCATGATCGGAGAAGAGTTGGCAGAAAACCTCTCAGTCCTAGTATGCAAACGGTTGAATACGCGAAATGGTGATAGAGAAAAAGTGCTGGTTAAGGAAAGTATAGGTGCCGGCGATACGGGAAGCCAGAACAATGCAACACAGGAAGACAATGTTTTGAGCAGGACTTGGCAAGGCTATATGACATTCAGGCACAACACTTAGTTGAAGAGAGATAACCAGAGAAGATATGAATCATACGACGATATCTTCCCCATGGGGAAGCAAACTTTTACGTACGAAATTCACCAAATTCTAGGTCCAAGAAGACATGAGACAGACTACGTCAAGAATCCACTGAACTCAACCCAATCGAACCGTCTTTCCGGTGGAAAGTTCCGCTGCTGGTTCCGATACGAGTCAGCATGTACCTACGTACCGCGGCTCGCAGCGCGTTAAGACCTGTCATTGGCTGATGGCTTCATCGGCACGATCGTGCCCTTGGCTAATGTAATCAAAAGCGGGGACGAATGTTTCAATTTTGCATCCGAGCAATCGAGGCCGATGCGTAGATCCAGATACAAAGTGGCTTCATAAGCGATCTATATATACGACGTAGAGATAGTAGAGATAAGTCAGAACATATTCATAATTCTATTGGTTCTAGAACGCATGGTATCTATTGCGTGGGCTATTTTTACGGGACACGGGTTAGAGCGTTTGTGACGATCATCACGAAGCATGTCTGTGCTTAAAGACGACGATAATGAGAGTCACTTGATGGACGCACGTCAGTATCATTCTTCAAATCGAGTTAGAGGGCTGTTATTGAGCTGCAATTTATTATCTTTATTGTTTTGTATCCGGGATTTCATTCCTTTCTAAGCATCGCTCTCAAAGCATGTCGTGGTGATGGTGCTATAGGGTAGGAGACAGATCGACCATCCTTGGTCAGCTGCCGATAAGATAAGAAATCTGGGGACCAGAGACTGTTCAGGCTTCTCCCCCTCCCGTTCGCTCATATCACCACCGATTCAAGCCTGCATGAGATCCCCAAGAAATACAATCTTTTCGTACTGTAAGATACAATTTAGCGGTTTTCGTACTTTGGGCTACTCTAGGTGGCTCGATTGATCCTCAGTATCCCTCCAACGCATCAGCCACAATGTCAGAACACGCGTCCTATGTGCCTCCCACGCGCAGCAGAAGAGGTTGTTTCACCTGCCGTCGGCGCAAGAAGAAGTGCGATGAGAAGAAGCCCGTTTGCAAGGGCTGCACTCGCAATAAGCTCGAATGCAAATGGCCGGCTGAGCGGATGAGAAAACCAGGCCAGGGGGGTTCCGAGGGAATTGATGCAGACATCATTTCTCTTGCCAATTCGTCAGCAGGGCATAAAGCTTTGGCACCGCGTTCAAAGGGCGCTTTTATACCTTCCACCGAGGCCTGCGGATCCACTATAAATGCGGATTCATCAGAGTGCGCTCTGCAAGAGACTGATGTGACCAGAGGGTACCTAGATGCATTGTCACCAGAAACCATCCTGAGTCCTTTGATCGAAACCGAGACTCATCATGGGTCCTTCTCGGATGCCTCGAAGTCCTCAACCTCAGACTCTGTATCCCTTCTACCGACTGAAGATGCTGAGACCCCGCAAAATGCGCTTGATGAGCATGGTGGCGAGAATGACATTGCGCAGGTGGATAACTTCGACACATACATCTCAACTGAAGCTTGCATGATTGCAAGTCCTAATCTATGGGATGCTTTGATGGAACCAATGCCTCCTTCTCCCACGGAAAACATTCCGGCCAGCTTTAGCGTGTTGCCACACATAGATCACGACTCCTCCGAGCTGCTCAGCTTCTATCTCCAAAAGACAGCGAACAGCATGGGGAATGGTTCAACAGACGTGAACCCATTCGTTGTACAGCTTGTACCCCTCGCCTTCCAGAACAACCTAGTACTGAGACTTATTCTCGCCCAAAGTGCTGTCCATCGACAAGTATCTCAAGATCGGCAGCCTAGTAACGAGCTGGCAGAGCGCCACTACACTGATTCACTACGACTCTTCAGAGCTCTCGTCGGTGTTTACTTGTCAGGAAAACATGATGGTATTTTACCATTGGCTGTTGGTAGCCTTATTTTATCATTGACAGAGGTAAGAATCAGTGTTGAACTCCTCTGCTGTTATCCTCGAGCTGCTTCGGCTGCTGACACTGGAACATTCAGGTTGCTAGCGGAGACATTCATGGATCAACATTTAATCATATAATTGCAGCCAAGAGCTTATTGAAGAAGGTTCTGCCCCAGCGTTGCGCGGGAATGTCTTTGGACCTGCAAAACTTTCTTGTAGAGTACTACAGTCACATGTCTGCGCTTAGCATTATCGGCATGGCTCCTCAAATTCGACTCAACTCCCCCATGGAACCAGAAATTGAGGCTATGGCCAACAGGATGGTGGAGGGACAGTATGTAGGCCAACTCTGTGGCTGCTGGCTCGAACTATTACTGGTGATTCCACAAATCTTTGCTCTTGGAGAAAGCATGAAGGCATCTAGCCAAGATTCAACCAGACCCCCATCGCCGGACGAGATCACACAATTTGCGCTGCTGCAAGCCCGAGTTCTTGCATTCCAACCCGTGCCCACAGTTCACCCAGAGACAGCTTTGGCTGGACTCGTGTTCAAGCAAGCTGTGCTGCTGTATCTCTGGAGCATCCTGGCTGGTCCCCACACAATGTATGAGGGCAACAAAATGCATCACAATCTGATGAAAGAGGCTGTCACAGAGGCTCTGGCCCTACTTGGTCGATTTCCCGGATCTGCAAGAGTCAACACCAGCCTTTGCTGGCCGCTGGCAATCATTGGATGCTGTATATCTGAAGAGACCCAGCGAGATATTGTACGAAAAAGACTTCAAACGATGCTTGGTACGATGAGCCTTGGGAATATGAGAGAAACACTTGTTTTGTTGGAACATGTGTGGACCCGGCCACTGGAGGATATTAGCCCCTGGAACTTATCCAAGATGATGGAAGAGAAGCAGATATGGATCTCATTTGCGTGAAAGACCAAAGCATCTCATTCTTTTAATTTGGACTCCAAGAGGATGACATTTGTTATTAATCTAATCTAACTCAGCTTCCAAGGTTCTTTGGAGCTTCGGTAGCTGGTCCCTCAGGGGTGACATATGCTTTGGTCAATCCTCCATCAACCACAAAGTCTGCAGCATTGACGAAGCTACTCTCGTCGCTAGCGAGGAAAACGACCGCTCTTGCCTGCTCAATGGCTTCGCCGAACCGACCGGTGGGGAAATGCACCTCCCTTCGGAATCTCTTTGCCTTGTCATCGCCGAGCCAGTCCTGCAGTAGTGGTGTGCTGTTTTCAAACGTTAGATATATAGTGCTAGCAGCAAGGCGACCAAGGAATAGAATATCTTACTTGAGAGGAGCGGGACAGAGAGAGTTGAAGCGATAGCCCTCCCGGGCGTGGACGATGGCCAATTCTCGGGTCAGAGCGAGGACTGCGCCCTTGCTTGCCGTGTACGCAAGTTGGGGGGTGGCAGCACCGACAAGAGCTACCACACTGGCTGTGTTGATGATGCTTCCCTTGGTCTTCTTGTGCTTGCGAAGGCTTCTAACAGCATGCTTGCATCCGAACAACACTCCCTTGACGTTGATGTTCTGTGTCAAGTCCCAGATGCTTTCTGGGCACTCTTCGGCATCTCCGTCCTTGGCGTGCATGATGCCTGCGTTGTTGAACATGACGTCGACGCCGCCCCAGGAGTCGAGGTGGCTGACTGCAGATTCAATATCGGATTCCTTAGAGACATCGACAACTCTTGTCTCGAGCTTGCCCTCTCTCGAAGGAACAACTTCCTTCAGTTTAGCGAGCGCACGCTCTAGGGCTGGTGCGGCTACATCGGTCAGGAGGACCGACGCGCCCTCTTGGCTCATCAAAATGGCTGTCTCAAGGCCAATGCCTCTGATAGGAAATTAATTTCATTATTTTCCGAGATATGGTTGGGGGCCATAAGCAGACCCAGTTGGTTGTCACTCACCCAGCAGCACCCGTGATGATGGCATTTTTACCAGCGAGTCTTCCGGGCATGATTGCAATGACGGCCTTGAGCTCTGGTATAGTCTAGGGAGTCGAGAAATGGGGATATTTGAGGGCCTGTGTATATGTATGTGGTAGTGTATGGGTAAAGTGTTGGCGTGTTGTGTTGTTACGGCGTATTGTTGGTGTAATATGTGGTTCAGATATGAGCATGAACCATATTTAACCCCGAGATCTGTTGCTTTATCTTCATTATGCGGACTCATGAGTCTCTTTGATCGAGTAAGCAATATTACCCCACGAGACCAGGCGCCTGCGTGGGGATGGAGGAGTGCTACCCACACCGCGGCAAGCGATCTGCACCTTGCGATACTACTGAATGCTCAGCTCTGCGGTTCGCGGCGCGCCTCGCGAAGAATACATTTCCACATGGGACCTATCATTAGAACTAGACCCTTATCATATGACCTTCTTTGATACGCAACCGTTGACGTTTCGGGGATATTGATGTTGCTAATGCTTATCCACGGAGGGGATCTCGGGTCCACACGCGGCTACGCTAAGAGAACACACATTATTCCGTATTTGGGGGCGGTTAAGAAGATTCCATGTTATCTAACGGTTCTAAGCCTGCTTATCTCTAATATGATGGCTCTTTAGTGTGACGAATGCATCGAACGCACGCGGCCCCAACGTACTTCCCAACCCAGAGTTCTTCCACCCGATCCATGATAAGTCCTTCGCGCGGTTAGAACGATCGACAACTTCGGGGGGGAATTGATCTGAACTTACTGGATTTGGACAATCGCATCGGTTGACGAAAACCGTGCCAGCCTCTACCTCAGAGATTAGCTCTGAGGCGCGTTCCAGATCTTTGGTCCAGATGCTGGCGGTAAGACCGTATTCGCTGTCGTTCATGAGCGCAACCGCCTCGGCATCATCTTTGACTTTGATCACGGGGATAAGGGGCCCGAATGTCTCTGCTTTCGCGACGGCCATGTCGTGCGTTACGTTGGTTAGTAGACGAGGTGCAACGTAGCTGCCAGTCATCGGGAGCGAAGCAAAACTGGGGTTCTCCGGGGTGGCATCCACGGCGCCCTTGGAGATGGCATCTTGGACTTGTTCCTCGATGGCCTTGACCGCAGCCGAGGATACGACAGGCCCGATAGATGTGGATTGCTGGTTCGGATCACCCAGGTTGTAGCTATGATGATTGTGAGCAAAATAGACATTGAAATATGAGGAAAGATTGAATGTACCCTCGAAGCTCATCCTGAAGCTCCCGAACGAACGCATCATGAACATCAGCATGAACATATACACGCTCGACGGCACAGCAGCTCTGTCCGGAATTGAAAATGGCACCATCGACAATGTTCGCAGCAGTCCATTTGAGATCCGAGTCGGCTCTGACATAGGCCGGGTCCTTTCCACCCAGCTCCAGATTGACAGGCACAATCCTCCCTGCGGTGGCGCGCCTAATTGCCACACCACCAGCTGTAGAGCCCGTGAAGCAGATTTGTTTGATGACGCTAGACTGGGCAATCTCCTCGAGCTTTGAAAGGCTCGCCGTGTGAAGAATCTGCAAGACATCCGTGGGTAGACCGGCAGCCTCGAAAGCTTCCTTGAACCGCTCCGCCACGAGGGGTGTCTGAGGCGAAGGCTTCAGAATGACAGAATTACCAGCGAGCAAGGCTGGCACTAGGGTGTTGATCGTGATGAGCCATGGAAACTGGTACCGTTCGTCAGCATATCCTTGGGAGAGAGTGAATCTCGGCGCTTACATTCCATGCGGAAACAATCAGGACTGGTCCGACGGGTTCTCTGCCGACCCATCTTTTGAATCCAGTTTCAGGGACACCGGGAATATTCGCCAGTGCATCGGCTGCAATATCCATGAGATAGTTGGCACGCTTGCGCATTGTGTCGATTTCGGTGCCGGAAAACTTGATGGGTCTGCCCATCTGCGTCGTCAGTTCCTGGGCCAGCTCATCTCGGATATTTGCTAAAAAGTCCAAAGCTTTGGTGACAATTGTCTTGCGCTCATCGAGAGATAGTTTGCGGTATGAGCGAAAGGCATTTGATGACCGGCTGAGCATTGCACGGGCTTCCTCGATGGAGGCACCCGGGCGCTCGAAGATGACCTCCCCTGTGGAGGGGGAAAGCGTTCGGATGATGTCCTCTGGCATGATGGCTATTGAAGATGACGATGGAATGTTGAGAAGTGTGGTTTGTAAGTTGACTGTATGAAAATTGCTGTTATTCTAGCAGAGAGACAAGACGGATGCCCTGTGAGAAGATCGATTGGGCTCTTATAAGTTATAACCACTGCTGGTGGCGATTGGCGGCTACGGAGCCCACTGGAGCACACTGGAGCGATCTCGGATGCACCACTAGCCCACTGATTGACAGCAGCCGAACATGCTGGCAGACAGCATTATAGAGGACTTACAGCACTCGATGACTTCAATTGAAGGCCCATCTTGCCATCATCAAATATGCCTCGCGTGGCAGCACCTTGAATAGATACACGATGCTGAGAATCTAAACTTTGGACAAATTCACAATTTTACAAAAACTTCTGGAGGCTATGCGTTTTTTCTGTTATAGAATTCAATCTAGCTGTCCGAGCACAAACTTCCAAATGGCGGAGGAAACAACAACGCCGTCATGTTTATTGTTGGCCCTCGATGATCCATCTTCATACATGCCATCATTGAAAACATTTTGACTGTGTCTCATTTTGAGAATCTCAGACATTATCTCGCTATCAAACTCTGGGTGTGCCTGAAATGAAAGAACCCGTCCCGGTTTGTACAACCCCTGGATTTCGCACTTTGGACTGCTTCCTAGATTGAGAGCACCCTGGGGAACTTCTAAGACGGCATCACGATGCATTTGATGCAAATTCTGTTCGATATGGTCAATCAATAGCGCGAACTTCCAGAGACTGGGAAAATTTAACCAAGAAGCATACCAGTGTCTTTAATCCAAGCAGCTTTTCGCCGTTTGGCGTCAGATCGATATTTTCAACAGAGATCTCCCATCCGCCTGGGCTGACCCCAACCTTGGCACCCAGGGCACGTCCGATAATTTGATGGCCGAAGCAGATACCAACGGCTGGCTTATTTGCGGTCTCGAGGAAACTCTTGACATATGCAACTAGCGAGACAATCCATTCATCGTCTTTGAACGCTGTATGCTCTACTCACATAGATAAGTATCTGACTCAAAAGAAAAATTCTGCACAAATTGCTCCGGCACCTACTGCTCCCTGAAATGAGAATCGCATCAACTTCGTGTAAGTCTGGATACTCTTGCGACGCAACGACGTCCCATTTCGTAATGACCGGAGTCACATGATTTTGAGGATTAAGTTCCTTGAGCCCTTTGTTGAGGAGACTCTCAAAGATCTCACCATACGATCCGCGGGTGTTCTTGACTGCAGGCACCGGAGTGTCGCATTCTAGGACGGCAATATGAAAATTCCGAGACATTGCGTACAAAGTAGACCAACAATCTGTCTATCTTTCAGTCACTATTGAGTCTCTATGGTTGTATGGTGAGATGGAGCCGATATCGCGTGAGATTGACGGTCTTATCTGGACATTGGCACCGCTACACCACGGTGTGTGTGGACTTGAACGGTTCCACCTGGGGAACACTTAGAAGGGCGGCTATTCCTTGCCGCGATTGTAGCAGCGCAACCGCGGTCATCCGACTGCACCCAGTACACTAAAATTGGATTTGACAACCAACTAGTTCCCCTGGTGCTGATGCGCCAATACCGTACGGAGAGGGAGGGATTGATAAGGCGAGACGCCTTACAGCGATACCCAGAAGTACGCCACCCTCCTCAGCCCTGATGGCAAGATCTCGTAAAATTCCCTTAGTTAGTTTAGCTTAAAGATAAGAAACCGTGGGCTTATAGTGAGAAAATGACTATGGTGCTTTGACTTTAAACTTTCGTCACCTTTTGCAGCTTCCCTGGTGAAGATTAACAGCATGAGATCCAATGTGCCTAACATCAATTAGATGCAACATCACTGTCTACTAAAGGGAACGGAAAACGGGGTGCAAAGCCATTCGCCCTTGCAACACGCTTTCCCAGCTTATGTCGACTATACATGACAATTGGAGCATACAATGGTGCTTGAATTTCCGTGTGGTTGATACCCGTATAAACGAAAGAAGACCTTGTGGCGAAGTTTAGTTGTCTCCAGGGTTTTAACTTGGGACTTGGGATGTATCTGCCTTCCAAATGACAAACTTGAACTCTGTGACGAATAGTTGTGACGTCGAGTTGCTTGTATTTGTGGCTTTAGCTCGCTGATGATCGGTCTATTTAATACAACCGACCATTTTCTACCACGAGAGCCGGCCTTCACCAACAAGAACATCAGTACCTTCCTCCCTACCTGAGAAATTTCCATAAGGATACTTTCGCTGGATATGTCTGATTGTTACTGGTTATTCGCCAGGCCCCGATCCAAAACATTGTTAAATTGTCTCTCCCAGACCCAGGAGACGAGCTGCCTGTATGGTGTTGAATGTTGATTACTCACCTCCGGGAATACCAGTTTCTGGCAGCATGATGCACGCTCTTCGGGGATACCTTCCGATATCTGCATTAATAATCCGTGCTGTGGGGTTATCGGGCTCAGGGGAAAGATGTGATTGCCGACTGTGATGGCGCCATGCGTCGTCACCGTCGTCATCATCGATCGGGCTGCAAATCTGACGCGGAGTCGGTTTAGAGCGCATCGCATGCCAAGTCCCCAGTTCCGTCAGCAAACCTCGTCGCAGGCCGCAATCTTTGGGAACTAACATTTGAGTCCGTCTTGACTTGTCCTTGTTCAGTCCACTGCATACGAGCCATGGATCATGGTCTCCTTGGAAGGCACTCACGTGAGCGGTCGAATGCCGGGCTCACACTCGTCACGCTCCTCATCCCCAAGTGATGGCCAAAGTCCGTTGATCGGCCCATCGCCTGCCCTGTCATCGGCCAGTGACACGGACGACGCCCCCGAAGAACCAGAAGTCCCGGTCTCGTGGATGTCCATGCCCAATAAATCGCAGCTTTGCGTCATTATCTTCGCGCGACTGGCGGAGCCTCTGAGCGAGCGGTCTCTTACTGCTTATCTGTTTTATCAACTTCGCTGGTTCGACCCTTCACTACCAGACTCCACCATCGCCCGCCAGGCTGGCATCCTCACCTCAGCATTCGCAGCTGCCCAGTGTCTGACTTCTATGGCATGGGGTTATGCGGCAGATCATCATCGTATAGGGAGAAAACAAGTTTTGATCATCGGTCTTCTTGGTACCTGCATATCTGTCCTGGGTATCGGATTTTCGACGTCGTACAAGTCTGCAATAGGCTTTCGGCTTCTTGCTGGTGCTCTCAATGGCAACATCGGTGTGTTAAGAACCATGGTGTCGGAAGTGGTGGTAGACAAGAGGTAAGTTGTGATTTTCTCCTCTGTTGACCCCTTCTACATTTCCGATGTTTAGAAAGTTAATTTCGTAGATACAAATCTCGCGCTTTTCTCCTGCTTCCGATATGTTTCAGCGTTGGAGTTATTATTGGCCCAATCATGGGAGGTTTTCTAGCTGATCCCATCAACTCTGTTCCCTGGCTCTTCGGACCCGACTCCTTGTTTGGGGGCAAGAATGGCGTCGAGTGGATGAGAAGCTACCCATATGCCTTGCCTAATATCGTCTGCGCCGCCATTCTACTATTTTCTCTTTCGGTTGTTGTGTTTGGCTTGGATGAAACTCACCCAGCCCTCAAGCACAAACGAGACTATGCTAGGAACCTGACAGGCATCGTTGCCTGCAAGTTCTTCAAGAAACAAAAAGTCGCGAGAACTTACGCCTATGAAGCTGTAACAACATCTCCGGACCTGGAAACCGAGACAACCCCTTTAATTCCTCATCGCCGGGAAGAGGATGAATCAAGCGAGGAGTCTGCCAGTCTAAAGTCTCTTCTGAAGAAATCCGTGATTGTCATCTTGGCGCAACACTTTTTGCAGGCTATGCACAACTCTGCCTTCAATGCTGGGGTTTTTATCATATTCCCAGCTACTCACTCCGATAATTCGAACGCCCGCCTGCCTTTCTTTTTCAACGGAGGGTTGGGCCTCTCGACCCAGGAGATTGGTTTTGCGAATAGTTGCATTGGGCTTGTTGCGATAGCATTTCAGATTCTTGTATACCCCGTCATAAGCGCCCGGTTTGGCGTTTTGCCGTGTTATCGATTCGCATTGCCCTTCAGTATCGTCGCTTATACTGTCATTCCTTTCCTGGTGCTCCTACCTGAGGGTTCAGCGATCACTTGGCCGTTCCTCATCGCGACCATGGCCTTACATATTTTCTCGCGTTCTTTCATAGGACCAGGGACAATTATCCTTGTCAACGACTCGGCGCCGCATCCTTCACTCCTGGGTACCGTTCACGGGCTGGCATCTAGTATCTCAAGCGTGGCGCGGATGTTCGGCCCAGTCATCAGCGGAGCCGCTCTTGCAGCTGGTCTGAGAAACAATTGCGTTGGCATCCCCTTTTGGGGTATTTCATGTTTAGCATTTATTAACTGGCTGTTGCTGCTGCGGGCTAAACATGAGACTGGCGTCAAGTCCGGCCGTTGATGAGCCAACCAGTAAGCGAAAGCGTAACTCGACGATTGCTACAATGCTGAGACTTTGGCCTCTAATCAAGAGGACTTGAAGTTCCTTCAGGCGCAAGAGATGCTTTCTCCGTATCAATGAGCAGCACATTATGACATAACGGTCACCATAAATAGACAATAAAAAGTATAGAATAATAATATAACTAGTTCTACATGTTCTGACATACCTCTAAGCTCACTTCGACCGAAAATGCGGCGAGACTTGATCCAAGTCGAATTGTCTAAGCCGATAAAGCATTTTTGACCCGTCTTGTTTTGGTTTTGACTTCTGGAGTATACGTTCGTAGGTACGTAGGTGTCAGTCATTCAATGGTCAAATCACCTTTTGCAAGATTGATGATACGTTTATCCGGGCCTCGTTTGTCCCAACAACTCACACATTCCAGTACGTCTTTTTAGCCATTTAATTTCTTTAATGATTTTGCCCATATCACGGCCACTGGGAAGTGGTTGGAAATCAGTTGTAAGAAATTCACACCGCCGGTGTTGCTCGGTGCTCCTCTACCTTGCACTATATGGAAGATCTCATTCCATAATGGTTTGCTAATCTTGTTTCAGGTTAATGTATCAAGTATGTTGTCAGACGAGCGTATAGACCGGGGAGCTGGTCCAATAATAGAATCTGGCATTTTCTCGGCAGAGCCAAACCAAGTTATCTCTCCCCCACTTCAATCAATTCGCGACCATACAAACGACTAAATCTCTCAGCTTCTGTTTCTCAATTTCCCAGGGAACACTCACCCACGGATCACCTTACCGGAAGCATAAGCCGGCAGGTCGTCGAATAGGAGCATACGTGCTCGCATCCCTTGCCATGCCTCTCCAAAACCTGCCACCTGAGATCCAATGCCAGATATTCTCCTATCTGGTCACCAACGACGGACCGTCGCACATCCATGCAGTACTGAAAACCTGCAAACGGCTTCGGGATGTCGCTCTACCATTCTCCGTGCAAACCTTCAGGAACACGTCGTCACCATTTGACCCTGACTCCTCTGGTCAAGTCTGCGGTACGCGCAGCATCCGGTTTCTGCGCTATATCTTGATGACCAAACCAGAGCTTGCCAAAAATGTCAAGACTGTAATTTTGGGCCAATTTGAATTACCGGGTGATGAAGAGGAGGAGTGGGAGGATGGGAGTAGTCAAGATGATGAGGAGATTGGCCATGAAGACGAGAGCGATCAAGATGGCGTGGGCAGTGACCCAGGAAGTGACAGCGGTGGCCAAGATGACAGACAAGGCGCTGAAAGAGGTGGTCGAGAGAGTGATGACGGAGATGAGATTTCGAAGATCGAGAAGGAATGTCTCACGGAAGCTGAGCTGGCTTTGTTCAAGCAAAGAATTAATGAAGCTCTCACCCCTGAAACGGACGACTATTACGAAGATGGGAGAGCACTGTGGTTTCGCGACCTACGGGAGAACCATACTGATGCCCAGATCGCAATGATTCTCCTAGTCTGCCCAAACATCGAACGGCTGTACTTTGCAGAGCCAGACAGCCCGAAAAACGTTTTGCTTGTGTTGAACTTGGCTAGCAACACTCAAAATAGTCAGACCAGGCCATTATCGAACCTGCGCGAGGTATATCACGAATCTGAAGATGATTCTTATGGCTATCTTTTGCTTTACGAACACGCCATTCCTTTGTTCCGTATACCCTCTGTCCGATCTTATGGATGTGTCCTGGCCAACGGAAGCGATGAAGCTGGTCGCGCATTTGCCCATATACCGCGAAGATCATCCTCAGTGGAAGAGATCACATTATACAAATCATTCTGCACCGCGTTATTTATTAATAATGTGTTTGGTGCTTGCAAGACTCTCAGGTCATTCGAGTTTACTCCGGCCGTTTCTCATGTTGACAACGATCGGATGATGCCCCGAGACATAATGGATGCCATTTTGCCCCATGCGAACACCTTCGAGAATCTTCATATCAATTTGGAAGATGACGAGGATAAGGCATGGGCAGGCCCCGACGACAGGATATATATGGGCACTGACTTGCGCCGGATGGTTGCACTCAAGAGACTTGTTGCTGGAATGCAGTCTCTCACAGGGTTTCTGGATGGGCAGCCAGACGAGGTATGGGGTGACAGCCCACCTTTAGAAGTCAAAGGAGCACCGAGACTTGTGGAATGTATCCCTGATAGTCTCGAGCATCTTGAGATCCATGGGTGTGGCAAGGCCATATTGGATCAAGCCGGCGAACTGCTCGGCGTGATTGAGAGCGGCAGCCGGTTTAAGAACCTTCGACGTGTGCGATTTCTCTTCAACGGCGAGAAGATTGACCCCGCAGAGGTCCAGCTATCCTGTAACTCGCCAAGTGTCACCCTTGACGTCGTTTTCCAATCACGGCATAACCGTATATACGATGTAGGCCAAAGCTTACACACTGAAGAGCGTGATGTAAGCAATATTTGCTCCCGTATCTTCGCAGAGGACCTCAGGGAACAATGGCTACAGATCCGGGGAGGAGATGTTGGTAGTGCGACGGTGAATCAGGGTGTTTATCGCGCCCCGGGGATCGATATTCCACTTGAAGAAGACGACCAAGAAGAGGTTGGCACCGAGGAAGAAGGCTCTGATGACGATAACGCCGCCGCCGCCGACGATGATGATTGAGATAGATCATGGGCTACTCTCGAAATGGTCACCTGGAGGCTGTTTGCTGACATCAACAACCCCCCATTAAAATTGAAAGACGCGGGAGACTACTATTGATATGCCTTTCTTTCTACCAACAATCAATCTACCTTTACCTTCATAGCCATTCCTGTTGATGATGATGACAATAGCTTGTACTTATCATAATAAATCTCCGTTTTTTAGCCTTGAGAAACTATTTCCTTATCTTCAAGCCGGGAACTCATGGTAATGACATTGGCTCTTACATGGCATCAACAAGCCGTCCACGTGACACGATGTTGGCCACTTTGATTATCCAACCTGATATCAACATCTCACATCTCCATTATCCTTCCACACTGGTTACTTAGCCACCCAGAGGGTATTTGCGTCGCCGCAGCCGGACAGGAACTTTGCCACTGGGATCCGCCGTCCCCCCGGGGATCGAGCGCGTCTTCAACACCAAGGCCTCATCCCAAGCAAGGACCTCACAATCATACATCGTGACCATTGTTGCCAGTGCAACTAGGTTTTCGTGCTTGGCGTATACTCTGCCGGGGCATGTAAACGGTTCGCCTCCGAAGGGAAAGGAATGGCCATGTAGGCCACTCAGGTTAAAGAACTTTCCCTTGCTCTGTCGATTAGTCTTGAGGAACCGCCCAGGGAAAAACTCGTGCACGGGAGGATGCCCTGCCCTGTCCCCCGCACACCAAAACTGAGGGTCCATGGCTGCCGTTGTGCTGCTCGCGACGCAGAGCGAGTGCTTAGGGATCGTCCACTTATCTTTTCAGGTCGCCAAGGTCCGGCCGTCGGAACACGTACCCATGTGTCCGTAACCTCAAGACCTCGGCAAACATGGCTTGTAGAAGTGGTTGGCACATAAGCCTGTCAACGTTAAACATGAGGGGTTCGTCCGGCCCAGGCTTTACGCACGGCCCGACTTCATCTCTTACAGCCTGGAGTATCTCAGGGTCGCGGAATGTTTGCAGAGTGAGCCAGAAGGCAGTACCAATACTGTTTCCTTGCGCGCTTGGGAAATGCAAACGTTAGTAATGAAACCACAGCCACAGCGAGGACGACGTCGGCACATGGATGCAGCTTACCTCCACAGAAAAAAGAGATCCTCAGATGCAAGCGCCCGAGGGTCGTCGAAACCGTCCATCTCCAAAAGGGTCGTTTGTTTCTCACGGAAAGAATCACAGCCCCAAAAGTGCTCATTCTCATCTGCATCGACTGACTCTGGTTTGGAATTCTGGCGCGCCCAAGCGTGCCAATCGAGGACCGCTTCAAGAGCCCGGTCACGAGCTTGATAGGCTCCGAGCATTAAAAAACGCGGTAGCCCAAGCATAAGGGGGAGTAGGTTTTCTTTGATGGCTGATATATCGTTCGCAAAGGAAGGATTCCTCTCCATTAGGGTCGGCCCGGTAAAGGAATCAATGGATGCAGCAGTAAGATGGATTCTGAATATATCAAACAAGTCTGGCACGGCTGACCATGTGCAGCCCACATCTAGACTGGAAAGGCGTTTGATTGTGCTGAAATGTAGTCGACGGAGAAGAGAGTAGTAGCCTCGGCCTAGGAAAAACCGATGACGGGAGGTGCTGGTGAGGAAAGCGACGCGGTTGTGATCCGGCACCTTGGATCCTGGTATGGGCCTTCTATGTTCGCCGGAGTCATCTTTGCTGTACGTCTCAGCAGCTGTCTTAGGCAGGCCGAAGACGTTGACCATCAAAGTGCGGTTTACAGGTCCCGATGAGAGTGCATTCTTGCTGAAAAGGCTGACGATGCTCTTGTCGCCTTGTATGATGTAAATATCGTGGAACAGTGATCTAATGTGCACAGAGTGCCGTTTCCAAAGCAGAGGCGATCTGAAGTGGTCTAGAGATTAAAACAGAGACCGGCATACATGTAGACATCTTGTAGACAGTATACGACATACGTGAGCAGGAATCGCAACGGCTCCCAAAAGAATTTTAAGGGCAGTAGCTGTCCCAAAAAGGGCACGACATGAGGTATCCGGGGAACTGTTCGGGTCTTATGCTTGCGATTTAAGGTCAAATGGTAGTTGCTACACCTAGTAAATAATGCACAAGCAATAGGAAGACAACGGCGGCAGCAATAGACTGCTGATGAATGATAACGGGGTTAACTCCCTCTGATAAGAGTGCTATCAGACTTGAATTGAACATCATTGTAGTTGGTTGGGTTGGCCACCTTGAGAAGTGACGCCATGGAGCAAGGGAATAAACTAGAACACGCTCATAAAAGTTCATACATCTTTATTCATTATCATAGCCTTTTCTGGATAAAGGATTATGGTCATCCTCTAGGCACTGTGGTTCACAACTGAATGATTTCTATACGTCAGCTTCGAATGAGTAAATTTTCGGTTTATCTTTCATGACACTGGGGTATTATTGCATGACTTCTACTTCCTCTTTTGCTTCACAGCGACGAACCTCCCTGTTTTTTTATCTGAGCGGTACGCGACCCCGCCATTCAAGTGTACCATGCTTATGACCCCTTTTTCTCCTTTCTCTGAGCCGGCGTATTCGTACTTTATGTGTTTCTGCATCTCACGCTCGAATGAGGCGTCTTCCTTGAAGGATTTAGAGAGGTCCCAAACAAGCCAAGTCTGGAACCTTCTGAGCCACCCAACATGTCTCCAGGAGGCGCTAGCTGAAAGCTCACCTCCAAACTTGGACATTGAATGAGAAAGAAACTCGTGCAGATCATTGCACTGATTCCGGAGCTCTTCAGTCATTGGTTTCTTTTGCATGAAAAGGGAGGCCACAAGGAGTTGAAGTGCGAAAAGCGTTATTAGGAGGCCTGATTGTTCTTCCTCGGATAAAGCTTCTCCAACACCCCTGTTTATCAGTTTATTGACATTTTCGAAGACAAGGTGACAGCAGATTATACCGACTTCTTGATTGATTTCGTCTGGGGAAACATGGTTGTCCATGTAATCCCTCTGGGTCATGTATGCGAAAAGCATCATCATTAGAGAGACTATATCATCACTCTCACCGGGGGGAAGTCGCACCCTGGTTGGCCTCTGAGTGGGTGCGACCACTGGGACGTACCCTTGCCTGTCAAGGTTCTCCCATATTTTACTGTCTGAATCTGAAGCTGAAATAGAGGCATCTGCTGAGAGTATCCAGCTAGAAATCTCGGCTTTCCAATGTGGAAATGTCTTCACAATATCGTTTATCGACATTTCACGGGTGAGAACTTCTTGGGGGGGAAGCGGACCCCACGTGAAGATTACTATATTGTTAATTCCACTTCACACCAACGAAAAGAAATAGTGAAACTCTTACCAGAGCGCAAGGAGTTTAACTTGGTAATATCTGAGTCCAAACACGAAGTCCATAGTAATTTTGTGTCATTTGGCTTCCTAGACTCTCTTTTGAAGAATTCTTGACATGCGCTGCACGGGAAATCACCAGAACACTATCATCTACTATGTCAATACTAATGGGGAAACGAGGTCATGCATTCTGCAACGCACCTTTCCTTTCTGAAGGCGACACCTCAAACATGCTTTTTTGGCTCGACCTCGGCGAGAATTGGCCAAATCGTCAGGACCCCTTGTGTTTGATGCCTCAGCCACAGCAGAAAGGTTTAGAGCATGACAGAAACCCTCTGGCACACCATCCACTTTTATTCGCTTTGGATCTGTACTCTCAAACCCGGACTTGGGGTGAATATCGTGCCCCTGCTGATCCAATGGCCTTTTGGCTGATACCGTAGCCTCGATTTCGTCAATTTGCATAGGCTCCGGGCCAGAAGTGTCTGCCAACGTTGCACTGCAGGGCTCTAAGCACATGAATCTCAGCGAAAAGATACATTGAAGAATTATCGTCCCTTAATTTCTTTGTAAGACGGAAGGGAGGGAAACATAGGATGTAGACTCACGGAATAGCGTGTCTTGGATAGTAATCATTGCATTGGCTTGCTCCCGGCCTGAAAGGGTGTCTTGAGAAATCCCGCCCCTGTCCGCGTCAACTGGTTTAATCCCTGCATTTCCCAGGGAAAACCCTGGATAAACTTCATCCCAGTTAGAAATATTCGTACAGGTCAGCCCGGATGCATCTGGTAGATTCATTGAGTCGAGACCGGTAAGGTTGTCTGCCATTGTGCTGGCTTGAAGATTTAAATAAAGTGTTAAAACGGCATGAAAAATTTGAGAGTTCAAATAGAGGACTAACCAAGCTCCATGAAACTATTCCCTATATCCAGTTCAGTATTGGCTTGGGAGGACTCATCCACGACGTATTCACCAATGCTTGGCGCCGGTAGGGAATTCATAATGCCATCCCCTGGCAAGAAAAAATCAGAAGGATCAAACTGGGGATCCGACAACATAAATTCAAGCCCCAAATCCCCGAAGCTGTCATCGAAGATGCCTTCAGCTTGGTCGGCACCAGCGAAGGCGTCTTGGAAGACCTGGTCTGTGTTGGTATTGGCCATTTTTGTAAGTAGATGAAGTCTTTTATAACTGGAGGATGCAAAAAGTGATAGAAGCGAGGCCGAATATCCTTGATGTCTGTAGCAAGATGAAAGGTGTTCTAACATTGCGATTGAAGAAGAGTTGACGAGTATTTATAGAAGAAATCGGCACATATGAAGGAATAAGACACAACTGAGATACCACTTTTGATTGGACAGATATGTGGATCCCTGAACCGTTTACAGAACCGGGAACTCCCCCCTAATTGAAATGACCCCGTCCCGGTTCTAGGAATGGACTAGCGGGTTTACCATCGATAAGCCAATCGCCCAATCACTCAATCACCCAACCAAAGCCCGTGGTAAGCACGTCAATAACGTGCCAAATGCCCGTTGCGATTCGCGCTGTGTGTGACAGCTTTCTTATCCCAAGACTGCTCGGATTCCTACGTACCACAGCGCTCCATAGATATACCAAATGTAATTGTAAGAATTGGGCTTTGCCAAGCCTCAGCTGCGAAAGGCTCTGGGTTCAAAGTAATTTGGAAAGTCAAAATCGACCACCACCTAAAACAGAATGTCCAGTGAATTCAATTGTAGAGGACTCCAAGATATATATATGCGGGGTCGCCGAAATCGAGTGGATGGTTAGCGGTTTGTGAGTAGTTCCTTAATTGCTAGCCATCTCTAGTATACTTAGGAATAAAGAGTATGCTTAGATTTTAGATAAGTAGAAAAACTAAGACCTGAAAATAAAATAAAATATAATACTTCAATCTATCGCAATAATATAAGGAAACGGTATTAAGTGTTTCATTATATATAGACCAAGATTTAGGTTATTTATGAAAGTACTTATAAGCGAAATAAGCTAGCTCTAAAGTATAGCTATAGCTTAGTTAGCCTCAGTCCACTTTAGTTTAGGCTTAGACCTCGCTTAGATTATATAATTATTAATCAGTTTCAAGAATGGAAGTAGCCTTCAGTGAGATTGTTTTTGAGGATAGTGTTTAGCTAATCAAGGAGCTAGTAAATACATAAACCTTTAGACTACCCTATACTTCTATAATTTATCAACCTCCTAATAACATAATAAGAATTCAAGGTAAGTAATTTTCATTCCGATGGAAGGTATCATGCCTTCAGCATTTAATTTTCTAGCGGCTGACGAATACCGTAGTGAGGAACCTAGGAACAGTGGAAGGAGGTTATGGCTAATAATGAGTGGTCTCACAATGGTCGTGACTTAGCTCATCTAAATATATACTTTTTTATTTTTTATTTATTTATTTCTTTTTACTATATATAAAGGTAATATCCTAAGATTAAACTATATATATAACTATAAGCTATAGCTATTTAATATATATCTTAAAAAAACTAAGCTATAGTTTATACTTAAACCTTCTTAATATTATTAAAACTTTTAAGATTATATATAAAGCTTAAATATAGATATTAATATCTTAAAAAAACTTTAATAAGAGCTAATTAATATAATATAAATTAGCTATAGCTTTAAGAGGAGATACTTATTATTACTAATTTCTCTTAATTTAATTTAAAGTAAAAAGTTAAAAATAGTAATATTTAATATAATTCTTTTAATTAATAATTAAGATATAATTAATATAAATAACTTAGTTCTTAAAACTATAAAAATAATTATTTATATTAATTTAAGAAGGGTTTTTTCTTACTATATTTAATATATAAGCCTTTACTTAATTAAGAGCTTATTTATAGTAATAAAGCTATTAATAAAAGGCTTTTCTAAAGTATATACTATAGAGTAAATAGGTTATAAAGTAGTTAATTAAGTTACTATCCTAGCTATAAAGGTAAACTATTTATAAAGCTAATTCTAAAGTAATTTTAACTAAGTAAATTACTTTATTATTAGCTTTTAGCTAATAACTACTAAATATTAATATTTAGTATATTAATATAAATAGTCTTTTATTTTCTTATTTTATATAAATATCCTCCTTAATTATAAACCCTCTATAACCTTTATAAATATAAAAAAGTAAATATATATAATTCTAATTTCTTATATCTTTATTAAAAAGATATATTATATATATTAACTTAAGTATATATATACTTTATTATTTATTTTTCCTTATTATTAATATTATTACCTTTAATAATAAGTAATTATAAATATATACCTTATATATATTATATCTTTATTCTATATTATTATCTTATTTCTCTTTTCCTCTTTTATATAGTTACTTTATATTATATATATACCCTTTATAATAATCCTTATTATTATATATTATAATTTTATAGCTAATTATTTATAAGATAATTATTTTCCTCTTTTCTCTTTTATATATAGATTTATATATATTCTAAGATAAGGTTTTATAATTAACCTTAGTAATATTTAATTAAGAAATTACTTATTATACTCTCTCTCTATATATAATTACTCTCTCTTTAAGTATTTTAGAGCTAATTAAATATAAAGTTTATTATTATACTTTCTTCCTTATTTTTTAAGCTTATAATATTATTCTATAATAATATAATTAATAAAACTTATAGTAATAGTATATACTTAAGTATTTAATCTAAGGTTTTAAAACTCTTATTAATTAGCTTTTATAGTTCTTTAAAGGATATAAACTAATTTAATATAATAAAAAGCTAAGATTAAGTAAGTATAAAAGGAAATTTAAAAGCTTAAAAGATAAAAGTATTAAATAAAGAAGATATATATTAATTAAGTATAAATATTAATAACCTTTTTATTTTTAGTTTCTATAGTTAATATATACTTTTATAATAAGTAAAATAATAAATATATTATATATATAAAGTTATTTACTTTTAGTAAAAGTAATAATTATTATTTTAATTATAATAATAATAAAAAGTAATATATATATTATAATAAAGAAGGTAATATTTATATTATTATTCCTAAAGTTCTTATACCTTTTATATATAACTTAGTCTTTACTTATAAAGCTTTTATTAAGCTTCTTAAATTAAGTAAAAACTAAAAAAACTCTTATAAGTATAAAGTATATAAATATATAGAAAACTTAATTAAATATATTAATATTATTTAAAAGATAGCTTATAATCTTATAATAAATAGTACTTAAAATAATAAGGGGGGTATAAAGATAGGTATATATTTATATATATTTATATATTTAAGAGAGATAAGTAAGCTTATATTTAACTAGCCTAGCTATCTATCTTTCTTCCTTCCTTCCTCCTCTCCTCCCTAATTATATATAACCTTAGTAGCTATCTTTATAATAATAGCTAGAGGTTATAGTAGTTATAATTACTATTTTATACTAATATATACTTTAGGATTAGAAAGGTTAACTAAATAATATACTATTAAGTAATATTACTTTTATTAGCTAAGTCCTTCTTTTTAAAGGAGTTAGTTCTATTAAGAATATAATTACTAAAGTTAAATAGGCTAGCTATCTACTTTAGATTAAGTAAGAGAGGATTATTAATCTTTAATAACCCTATAGCCTTAGCTATACCTATAAGCTTATAGTTACTTATATTTATAATAGGAAGCTTAAGGATTAATTAGTTATATAGCTATCTATCCCTAATAGTAGGTATTAATACCTTTAGTAGCTTATACTTTAGTATCTTAGTATATATATCCTTTAATTTAGATATTTATTATACTTATAGTTAGTTAGAGTAGATCGGATGAGATTAATAGCAAGCGTAGGCTCGGTAGGATGTTTGATTTTGGCAAGGACTTGAGTGTGTGCAGCGATGTGTGAGACTCGATGGAGTTGACTGATGGCGAAGGTAGCGATGTGTTATTGAATTATCTGTGAGTGAGTTTTTCACTACTTTAAAGGCAAAGCTTAATATAGCTGATAGTTAGTGGAGCGATAAAGGCAGTGCTTACAGAATAGATAGATTATTAATGTGGACTTAAGCTATATAGTTCTATTAGGTGTATTTATAGTAGTACGCGCCTTATCTTCCTACTAAGGACTAGGCTAAGGATAGTAGCCTTTAAATAGATAAAAAGTAGTATTTTAAGGTTTATAAAAGGAGTTATACTAATAAAAGACTTATATTTAAGGTATAAGCTATTATTAGTATTAAACCTTATATATAGCTAGGTATAAGCTTTATAACTAGGTAAAAAGGCTAAAGGTTAATATATTATAATACTAGGTATAGTATTAAGTTATTTAATTCTTAGTATTTAGGAATTTCCCTTTTTTTTTAGTAGCTATTATATAACTATATAGCTCTCTTACTTATTAGTACTTAAAATAATATAACTATTTATTAGAAATATAAGCTTAAGTCTTTATAAATTATTTTTAAGGCTATTATTTATAAGAAGTATAAACCTTTATTAAAGTATTAAGCTATTTATTATTAGTTTATAAAGCTTAAGGAAAATAATAACTTTATATTTAAGATTATTAATAAATTTAATAATAATAATAAATCTAAAGGTAATTCCTTTACTATTTAATCTTAATATATAGTAATAATAAACTTAAGGGTAATTCCTTTAATATTTAAATTTAATCTCTCTAAATACTACTTTTTTATATACCTTAAACTTAAGTACTTTAGATTTTAAGTAAAAGAAAGAAAATATATAATAGTTAATAGACTTATACTAAATAGAGGTTTAAAGTAAGTTAGAGGTATAACTAATTAAAGTATTATTCTAAGAGAGTAATTAAATTATTTTAATACTATATAGATTATTATTAATATATAAATATTAAGAAGTTAGTTTTAATAAAAGTAATAGTAATTATATTAATAACTATTTAAGAGAATATCTTTTATTTAAAAATTTAATATATATATATAATAAGGTTATTACTATTTTATTATTAAGCTATTACTTTATCTAAGTAATAGGTTAATTTTATTAATCCCTAAATAAAGCTTATTAATCTACTTTATATATAATTCCCTATAGCTTAATAAAGGCCTTTATTTATAATATAATACCCTCTCTTTATTAATCTTATCTTTAAAAC